GTGTAAGCCTTTTTCAAAATCTAACCACGGTGAGTCTTTTGGTTCATTAAACATATGTGTGGTTGCAACTCAGCCTCTCCGCCTCGACCAATGAACGCTAAATATATGTATCTTATTAGGACCAAATTCATGTAAACATGCATTATTTGGTAGTGTCTCCTGGACACTATCACAAGTTATAAACCAATGTCACCCCTGCCTAACGACCTCTCAAATGGAAAAACCTCATTGAATATAAAATTATATGGATTAAAAAAAAAAGAGTATTACTAGGAGGATTAGTCCACGAGTATTAAGCCATTTTGATGTAGTTTTCGACCTGTACTTACTGTAATCACCAAAATCAAGTAGTGTGTCACGCGGCGAAGCTGCGTCGTGTTGAATAAACGACATAATATCAAACGTTAGGAACCGTGTTACCTATGCTTAATTTGCACTATCAACCCTCTGAGATGTTGTAGCTTGTTACTGATTTTGGCCTCCCAAAATTGATCTACATTCGTTAACAACGATGCTAACTCTACACCCAGAACTCGGAAGACAATATTCCGGATAATGTTGTTTCTTAGCGTTGGTGGCGCTTGCAACGGCTCATCGTCGTCGCCGACATTCTGCGCCTCCAACTCATCTCTGTCGCCGGTATTCTCGTGAGTCTAGTTCTCGTCGTGTAACATCCCAAATTTCAAGACCAAAAATTTTGTTTTTAATTAAGCAATTTATAAAACAGTTTACTGAAAACATCATCAATATCATATCAAACACATAAACCCATAAGTCAAATGTCATAAAACATGTCATTGAATAATAATGTCAAAGTACAATCCCAAGAACATCATAGTGCGGAAAATAATGGTGTGATGCGCTGCTACCGAGTCGGCTCCTTTCCCTTCGAAAAGGAAGTACCTGAAACCAAAACTAAAAACCGTAAGCACAAAGCTTAGTGAGTTCCCCCATCATACCACATACCATAAACACATCATGCCTATCCCTCGGTATCTTTCAACCGGTATCCTACTGGCATAACTGGAAGTTAGGCTTCCCTTCGGTATCTTTCAACCGGAAACCGGGAGCTGACCTCCCCTTCGGTATCTTTCAACCGGTAGCCGGGGACTGTTTCACCTCTACCACTACCACATAATAACGTAACATGTACACACTGTTAGGCATGCATGAGTTCTGACGACCCCTTCGGTATCTTTCAACCGGTACCCGGAGACTATTTCACCCCTACTACTACTAACATGTATCACAGAGCATCCTAGCACACAAACATAACATATAATGGCATACCAGATAATTATCACAAAGACAATCATCTAACAAACAACTCCTACTAGTGGGCCGACATTGTGGCCTTAGACCCACTTCTACTGGAAGGTAACTCACCTCAGTATCGTGCAGTAACTGAACTGTCCTCGGTGCTGGGATCAACCCTCCTCAAACTCCTACACATAACAGTCTTCCTTGGTTACTCTTTCATATTCATAACCCCTTTAAGGGTCAATCTTGGATAATGGCAAAGTCAAAGTCAAAGTCAATGGTCTGGTGAAAGTCAACATCCTGGTTGACTCAACTCGTCGAGTTGGTCCATCAACTCGTCGTGTTCCATAATTCAGAGAATCTCGAATTCGCGATCTGACTCATCGAGTTACCTTCTAACTCGCCGAGTTTCTCCTTATGATAGAATCGGGACTTTCCATTTGAACTCGTCGAGTCCTTCCTTGGACTCGTCGAGTTCTCCCTCATACAGTCGGGACATTCGTTCACTGACTCGCCGAGTTCATTCTTGGACTTGTCGAGTTCTTGACCTTTAAGTCCAAAACACGTCTAATTGGCTGAGTCATCTTCTAGACTCGACAAGTTTGCTACGTAACAGAAAAGGTTGGGGAACCATGACCCGACTCGCCGAGTCCCCATGACCCAAATCCATACAGTCGATTTCATTCGGGCTTAATGCATCCAAAACATAGATCTGGCCTCCTAGGGTCGATATAACACGTAAAGTTACAAAGTTTACGTTCATGCATTGGTTATTTAGCTCAAAAAGCCCTAAAAAGTGGTCCTTAGGATGCATGGGACTCCCATGGACGTAAAGTTGGCACCTTTATGCCATGGAGTCCCTCAAGGGCTCTGGATCTGAAGTCAATACCCCAAAACATGCTTGCATCCATGAATGGTTCCAAAAATGGCTCCTTAAAGCCCTAAACTACTCCAAGAAGAAATCTAATAGATGAATGGTCAAGGTATAAACTTTATACCTCGAATGAGCTGGAAATGGAACACAACCTCTGGATCTACTTACTTCCTCTTGAACTCCCAAGCTTCCTCTTCCTTCTCAAGCTTCAAAACCGCCACAAACACACAACAATGGCTTAAGAACACTCAAAATGGGTTAGGGTTTCGAATTAAGGTTTTATGGACTAAGGGAGGCGATGAGGGAGGCCACAATGGGAGTGTTAAGGTGTTTAAATAGGGTGCAAACCCTGAAAATTAGGGTTTCACTCTGTCAGGCCTACTCGTCGAGTCGAGGCTCCTCGACTCGTCGAGTAGACTTCAAGTCCCGCGTCCACATATCCCATTCCTACTCGACGAGTTTGGGGCCTCCAACTTGTCGAGTGCCTTTGTAAAAATGCATAATTCTTATTTAAAATACGTACCAGTAACCACCGGGCGTTACACATCGGAAATTTTGTTTTTTTTGTTATGGATAGAAGGAAAATGAGGGCGGCTAAAGAAAGAATGTATCCTTGGAGAAAGGGTTTTAATTTTCATGATGATAACCTACCTAACCATACATACACTCTTTCATCCTTTCTTTCTTAATGGGCGCACACACACACAAGGTTTCTCTTATTCCCATTTTTCTCACTATCTGATTTTAAGTTTTTTTTTGTTCTTACATTGAATAGATTTAATTCTCACGTTTCTCTCTGTATCAGTTTTGTAATGGATTGGTTCAGACTCGTCAGTTGTGGCAATTTGATCGAAATTTTTAGTGATTGAAGTTCTTTTAAACTTTGGATTCAATTTTGAGTTCGATTGAAACTTATACATCTTTGTAACTTTTGTTTCAGGTTTGATAATTTCTATAAATCAAATATTGTCTCCCTTTTTGTCAGTTCTCTGTAATCATTCTTTAGTTCTTTCCCTTGTCGTATGTATTTAATGTTTGTATCAAAAGGCTTACCCCAACTGTTTAGAGATTAGAAAACTTAAACAAAACAATTATACCACACGATGAAAGAAGATGACGATGATGGTGATGGTGAAAGTAAGAATGATATTAACCACCATGAGAAAATTTTATCTAAAGATAGTGGCATTAGAGGTGGGTGGTGTAAGAATGATATGAAACATAATTGTAACATTACATGCTTGTAAGTTGTACTGATTCATTCTTACCACATATAAACACTCACAGAAGACATGAATTTTGTTCCAAGTGGAAGTGAAAAATCAACTGTGATGAGTTTTTGCAAAGATTATTTGATTGTGACATCTGCAAGTGTTTATAGGTGGTTGTAATCCGAATCGGGTAGGGGTCGAGACGCCTAGTTAGGAATCGGCCAAAAAACTTGGAATCGGTCAAAATCTATACAAATCGGAAAAACACGAAAATTTTGACTTTTTTTTTTAGAAAAAATCTATAATTTCTATTGATATTAATCTATTTTGTTCTAATTTTTAATAAACTTGTTATATATATATATATATATATATATATATATATAATTTCATGTAATTTATTCAATCTGAGTACTCTCCGTCTAGACCGAATACTTGCTAGGCGCTAGTCGGCCCCCGTGGGAACGACTAACGAGTTTTGCAACACCGAGTATTCTCATATGTAGCTCTTCTAAATCATGTGTTACTTGTCTTGGTTTTGATAATAACATTGTAGGATTGATATTAGAAATTATGATAATACAATACCAACTATATTTATTTAATACCAATACAAATTTCATTTAATATCAATACCAACTGCATTACATCAGACCTCTGTCAAAAAAAAAAAACTAACATTACATCAGGTGAATATTAGCCAATAATGATTTCAATTTTTGGAAATAGTGTCCACATTCATAACAGTTATACTATTAATAATAATAGTAGTCATTTTGGGTTATATGCAATGACAGAAAATATCCTCTTTAACAACTGCAAACTCATCTTTAAAATTCAGGATCAATTTGAAAAGAATAAAATAAACCATTTGCAAAAAAAATCGTCAAAATCGACATACCAAGGAATTAGGGAAGACTCTAAACTTTTGTCAGGGTGTTTTTGTTTTGGATGTCCGAATTTGAGTTTGGAGAAAGCAATCACAAAGAATCTAATTGTCTGCTATTGAGATAGATGAAACTGAAGCCGAAAACATCTTCTTCTTGGAGAAAACTAAGGCATCACCATTATTTGACTGATTCGTGAATTAAGTTATTGATATAAGTGAAGGAATAATCATTTATGAGAACACATTATTAGTTATTGTCCTACGTAAGATATCACATGAGCAAAACCTAAAAAAAAGGTCATAAAGACTGAATGTATACATAAACAAGTTATTTTGCAACAAAAACAAGTTAAAAGACTTATTTAAAAAAAAAAAAAACTAAACATGTACAAATTGAAAACTATGTTACCCTTATAGGTGATTTTCCCAACAATTAATTGATACTCAAGTTTTCTATAATATCAAATAAATATATTAACATATATATCCAATCAAACTATTACAAGAGGAATCACATCATCTTCATGTTTTTTTTCCTTTTTATCTATTCATCTTCACCAAACAAAAAGATGTGACATTACATATATAAAGCCTGATTTTTAATAAGATGTGTAAAACTTGCATTTCTTAAAAACATTATATGGTTACTCATTAACAAATACATATACAACAAAACCACTGCCTTCAAGATTTATCAATCATCTAATAAAAATGCTGCCCTTTCGTAAATTAATTTGTTCCTATTTAACATACAAATTTATAGGACCTAAACTAATCTTACAACCGAATCCCTCAAACAATCTTCAGGTTTTGGTTTGATCTTAACAGGTTTACCAAGCTTAGACTTATCTTCCATTTTTGCAATATCACGAGCCTTGTCACAAACAGGAAATCCCTTATCATCCCATGATTCCAAAATTACCCCTGACCCCACACAAACCTCTTCTTCATAAAAAGCTGCAAATTGGCCAGCTGCCAGACCCTGATCATCTTCGGGTAATTGAACAGTGCCAATGTTTTCAACACCATCTTTTTCTATATGCAAACTGCAATCATAGAAAACCGGGCCATGTCGAACCTATAAAAAACTTGTAAATGTCACTTTTTCTATTAAGTCTTTCTTTCTGCATTAAGTCATGTCTAAAAAAGAATCAGTCTATCAAGGTTTACCTTGCATCTTAAGTGGTTCAGGTTGTGAGGAAGAGATCCACTGATCCATCTAAAGGATCCAACACGAAATGATCGCCTTCTTTTATCAACGGAATAATAATTTCTTGATACAAAAACCACGTTGTTTTTTACATCTTTCTCAACAACATACCTGCATGGAAACATGTATTTTTATAAATCTTTACAGATTTTTACATAATAAAAAGGGTGAAAGAATTGGAGTAGGAAATTACCATGGTCCTCCTGCAAGACCCAAACCTTGGCGTTGACCAATTGTGTAAAACCAAAAGCCCCTATGGCTTCCTACAAAATCCCCTGTTTCAGCTTCCAATAGTATACCTTCTTTTTCACCAATATGTCTTCCAACAAATTCACTGAACTTAATCTGTATAATTACATAAATCCCCACTTGAAATATATATATATATATATATATATATATATATATATATATATATATATATATATAATTATATCATCTCCAAAGTTGGGATTTTTGTTAGCAAACATACCTTCCCAAGAAAGCATATTCCCTGTGAATCCTTTCTATCTTGGTTAGGCAAATCAAATTTTCGGGCAAGCCTTCGGAATTCATCCTGATGATTTAATAGGAAAATTAATCGATATTGAAATAGTAAATTCATAAATTCTGTTTTTTATAGAGCAAACTTACTTTTGGAATACATCCAAGAGGAAGCACTAGTCTTTTAAGCTGAGCTTGTGAGAGATATGAAAGAAAGTAGGTCTGATCCTTCAGCTGAAAATCCAAGATTTATCTATCGCTGAGTGACAGTGAGTAACGAAAAAAGGGAAAAGTAAATAAGTAGCAAATCTTTACCATATCCTTTGAGAGCTGAAGAAATGAAAGCTCATTGGTTTCATCTGTAATGGGGTGAATAACTTTTGCATAATGTCCAGAAGCAACAAAGTCAAAATCCATGTTACTGATGGCATCCATGAACGCACCGAATTTGATTCTTGTATTGCAAAGAACATCAGGGTTAGGCGTACGACCACATTTATACTCATCAATAAGGTAAGATACATGCAGCATTATAAGCAATAAGTTCCACTGATGATGATGAATGTGAGAAAATGCATTAAGAGGGGTGTGACTTACCACTTTGTCCCAATATTCATCTGTCAGATGTACAATTTCCAGTGGTACATCAACCTGAAGCAGATTTGTAAAAAAAAATGTTGATATGTTTCCTTCAATACTAATTTATACGATTAATCAAACTTGGAAGAAACAAAGAAAAAGATCACATAATCAGGGATTTGAGTGATAGCACCGAGAACTTCATTTGTTAAAGCAGGGAAGTGTTTTTGAGCCTTCAAATCCAGTTAAGCACTAACAGAAATCTGAAGATAAAATGAGATCGATAATATGAAGGTGAAGAAAGCAACCTGATTGCAAACAGCTTTTGCGTACTTCAAATCTTCTTCCCATGGGCATTCAGACCAAAAGTTCTCGAAATCTTCCTAAGAACGAATTCAGTACCAGAACTAGCTAAGGTATTATAGGTCTCAAACTTCAAAAATGCCAAAAGACAAACAGAAAGCTAAAAGTAAAACGGAAATACGAAAGTAAGAAACCGATAAGAGAGGGGATTTTTGTTCATTTTCGATGTCAAATTATTGAATTGGAGCATCTTTACCATTCGAAAAGAGATAGCAAACTTGCAAATACTTACAGTTTGAAGTTGAAGATAGCCAACAAAATTAGGTTTATATTCGAAACCAGACATTATGGTCATAAACCTGAATGGGTTTATTCGTATATGCAATGTAATGTGCAATCAAAAGAAAAGCTTACGCACTTGGAACCAGATTTTAAGGTAGAAAGCGGTGCAGGAGTGTCCGGCTGCGTGTAGGAGGCGAAGTGCG